TATGGGGTTAGAGGAGGGACGGGTGGATTTTGTGGGAGAATTTGAGTTGGACGCCCTAGGTGGCTTTGGAGGTACGTATGGGGAGTAGTTTTGAATGTTAGATAGGACTCTTGATCTGGCTACAGTGGGTGTGAGAGGAATAGTCTTCATCGCCGATCTTATCATGCCTGCAGAGTGTTCTGGTAAATCCAGTAGTGAAGGCGGGGATAGAAAACAAAGGGAAAGGTCGTCCTCATTTTCCCTAGATGGAGTGGATGTAGCGGGGGGGACCCAAGCCGGGTCCATGGAAGGTGATGAGGGAGTCTTTGGTGGAGACAGAGGTGGTTGAGGAACCCCCAGTACAGGCCTGACTGTAGCCTGGAGTAATGGGGGAAGCTTCACGGGAGCTGTAGGTGGGGAAGGTGCTGCTGAAGATGATGGAGCAGCCACTGCTGCTGCTGTATCCACTGCTGCTGCTGAAGATGATGGAGCAGCCACTGCTGCTGCTGAAGATGATGGAGCAGCCACTGCTGCGGCTGTATCCACTGCTGCTGCTGAAGATGATGGAGCAGCCACTGCTGCTGCTGTATCCACTGCTGCTGCTGAAGATGATGGAGCAGCCACTGCTGCGGCTGTATCCACTGCTGCTGGTGGTGCTGTATATGCTGATGGCGCTGATGAAGATGTGGCAGCTGCTGATGATGCTGGGGGTGGAGGCGTTGAGCTCTTTCGAAGCCGTGGAGGTGTTGAGTTCTTTTGGAACCTTGGAGGTGTTGAGTTCTTCTTGAATCGTGGAGGTGTGGAGTTCTTTTGAGGCGGTGGGGGTGCAGAGACCTCGGGAGTCGGTGGAGATGGTAGTGATGTCTGTGCCCTTTGCTTCTTCTTTCTCCCTTTCAACGGCTGCACGCGCTGCGCAGGCTGAGGTCTTAGGGCAGATGCAAAGTTATCCATCAGCACTTTTACTCCGTAGTTGTTCAGATGTGGGCCTTTTTCTTCAAAAAGCTCGTGCCTATTCCAGAACAGATTAAAGTTTTCAATGAAGCCAAGTCCTCTGCGTGAACACTCATTGAGTAGAAATGTATTTAGCTGATACAGACGGCTAAACTTCTCCATTTTTCCATCTATATTTGGCAGTGGGCCACTAAGAAAAATTGTTATGTCCATTTTTCTTGAGGTCATCCAGTAACAGCGTTAAATCCATTCGTAACTTCTCGCTTGCCTTCTCTTGGTGGAGGCGCTACAGTTTTTAGCAGCTTTGTTGTTTCAGAAAGGGGTAAAAAGCGGTTTGAAGTCTTCAGAACATTTAGTTGTGGCCTTATTTCACTCCTATTGTCATTCTTAGCTTTGTCAACTTTGGGTTTGGCTCCACAATTGTTCCAATAATTCTCATTGTTGATTTTGGGAAAAGAAATGACGTCATAACTTACATTTCCAGTCTGTCCATTCATCCCATTTTCACTCATTGGAAGAGTCGGGTTAAGTCCCATTTCTGTTTCCACAATAGATATCCGTGTTTGAAGAGATTTAAGCTGATTTTCCAAAGCACAACAGCCACCGCAGACGCTTCTCCGTCTCTTCCGTCCCGACATGACTAATGTTGATAAATTCCACAAAGCTGAAGTGGTGTAGAAGGAGTAATCCTCGTTTTGTAAATAAAATGATTAAAGGTGTGCTCCTCAGAGTCCCAGCAGGAGGCCCCAGTCCCTGTGCTCCTCAGAGTCCCAGCAGGAGGCCCCAGTCCCTGTGCTCCTCAGAGTCCCAGCAGGAGGCCCCAGTCCCTGTGCTCCTCAGAGTCCCAGCAGGAGGCCCCAGTCCCTGTGCTCCTCAGAGTCGCAGCAGGAGTCCAGTCCCTGTGCTCCTCAGAGTCCCAGCAGGAGGCCCCAGTCCCTGTGCTCCTCAGAGTCCCAGCAGGAGGCCCCAGTCCCTGTGCTCCTCAGAGTCCCAGCAGGAGGCCAGTCCCTGTGCTCCTCAGAGTCGCAGCAGGAGGCCAGTCCCTGTGCTCCTCAGAGTCGCAGCAGGAGGCCAGTCCCTGTGCTCCTCAGAGTCGCAGCAGGAGGCCAGTCCCTGTGCTCCTCAGAGTCGCAGCAGGAGGCCAGTCCCTGTGCTCCTCAGAGTCGCAGCAGGAGGCCAGTCCCTGTGCTCCTCAGAGTCGCAGCAGGAGGCCAGTCCCTGTGCTCCTCAGAGTCGCAGCAGGAGGCCAGTCCCTGTGCTCCTCAGAGTCCCAGCAGGAGGCCAGTCCCTGTGCTCCTCAGAGTCGCAGCAGGAGGCCAGTCCCTGTGCTCCTCAGAGTCGCAGCAGGAGGCCAGTCCCTGTGCTCCTCAGAGTCGCAGCAGGAGGCCAGTCCCTGTGCTCCTCAGAGTCGCAGCAGGAGGCCAGTCCCTGTGCTCCTCAGAGTCGCAGCAGGAGGCCAGTCCCTGTGCTCCTCAGAGTCGCAGCAGGAGGCCAGTCCCTGTGCTCCTCAGAGTCGCAGCAGGAGGCCAGTCCCTGTGCTCCTCAGAGTCGCAGCAGGAGGCCAGTCCCTGTGCTCCTCAGAGTCGCAGCAGGAGGCCAGTCCCTGTGCTCCTCAGAGTCGCAGCAGGAGGCCAGTCCCTGTGCTCCTCAGAGTAGCAGCAGGAGGCCAGTCCCTGTGCTCCTCAGAGTAGCAGCAGGAGGCCAGTCCCTGTGCTCCTCAGAGTCCCAGCAGGAGGCCAGTCCCTGTGCTCCTCAGAGTAGCAGCAGGAGGCCAGTCCCTGTGCTCCTCAGAGTAGCAGCACTAATAACACAGTTTGTAGATAGTTCATTATGGGCCTCTCCCAAATGCAGCCTGATTTATTAAAGTGCCTAAAACCAAGTGATAGAGACGCCCCAAAGAGGAACATGTTTATTTATGACTCAAAAACTGACCCAGGTGTACGGGAGGACTTTCTACTTCCTGGTGGATCATCAACACCATTGGTCCTCCCAGCTGTCAATCATTCTGGTGACATGTACTATTTTCAATTTTTTTTGCCAACTACACTTTTAAATTTAAATCTTTTTTTATTGCTAGCATTTTTTTATTTCCGCACATGGAGATTTTGTGGACAGTAAATTAAATAAAAAGAAGAAAATAACCCCCCCCACCACCTGCTGGCAGCCAAAAAGGAAACAAAAAATTAAAAAAAATTACAAAATGAATTTACATATTTACATAAAAGGGAGAGAGTTTCTACAACATAAAAATAATAATAATAAATTCACATAATAATAATATGAAAATCTACAAATCTTTAAATCTGTAAATCTCCATCTACACTTTTACCTAAAACGACTAAAACCAGAGTGAGTAGATATTAGTATTTGCAGTCTGACCTGGCGCTAACCCCGGCGTCTCTGATTACAGCTCTGTCGTAACCTTCATCGCCTCATGCTCTGTTCTTTCTGTCCCAACGCAGAGAAAAGAAACAGAAAATCCAAGATATCCGGAAAAACGTGAAGGACGCCATAGTGGTAAGTTCTTCTCCCGGAACCTGGACTCTACTGTATTAGTGTCTGGGCCCAGGGCTAGCATCCAAGCTAACGCCCGCTCTCTGCTATGCTACGTGGCTATCTGCTTTGCTAGCTTCAAGTGGAGTTTGAGAGCGTAAACATAAGATCGCAGTGTCATCCAGCCAACTCCAGCTCAGGTTTATAGATGTGTTCTACCTTGTTGTAAAGCTGAGAACATTTAGTGCCTCTCACTCACTTCTATTGCACTTTAAACCTGTCAAATTGACTGCTCTGGGAGTATACAGCCATAGGCCTCTCAACATGGATCAGAGAGAGAGAGCAGAGAGAGAGAGAGCAGAGAGAGAGAGCAGAGAGAGAGAGAGCAGAGAGAGAGAGCAGAGAGAGAGAGCAGAGAGAGAGAGCAGAGAGAGAGAGCAGAGAGAGAGAGCAGAGAGAGAGAGCAGAGAGAGAGAGCAGAGAGCGGGAGCAGAGAGCGAGAGCAGAGAGAGAGAGAGCAGAGAGAGAGAGCAGAGAGAGAGAGCAGAGAGAGAGAGCAGAGAGAGAGAGCAGAGAGAGAGAGCAGAGAGAGAGAGAGCAGAGAGAGAGAGCAGAGAGAGAGAGCAGAGAGAGAGAGCAGAGAGAGAGAGCAGAGAGCAGAGAGCGAGAGCAGAGAGAGAGCAGAGAGAGAGAGCAGAGAGAGAGCAGAGAGAGAGAGCAGAGAGAGAGAGCAGAGAGAGAGAGCAGAGAGAGAGAGAGCAGAGAGAGAGAGAGCAGAGAGAGAGCAGAGAGAGAGAGAGCAGAGAGAGAGAGAGCAGAGAGAGAGAGCAGAGAGAGAGAGCAGAGAGAGAGAGCAGAGAGAGAGAGCAGAGAGAGACTAGAGAGAGAGACTAGAGAGAGAGAGCAGAGAGAGAGAGATAGACTAGAGAGAGAGAGCAGAGAGAGAGAGCAGAGAGAGAGAGAGAGAGAGACTAGAGAGAGAGAGCAGAGAGAGAGAGAGAGAGAGAGCAGAGAGAGAGAGAGAGAGAGAGAGCAGAGAGAGCAGAGAGAGAGGCCAGAGAGAGAGAGCAGAGAGAGAGAGAGCAGAGAGAGAGAGCAGAGAGAGAGAGCAGAGAGAGAGAGCAGAGAGAGAGAGAGCAGAGAGAGCAGAGAGAGCAGAGAGAGAGAGCAGAGAGAGAGAGCAGAGAGAGAGAGCAGAGAGAGAGCAGAGAGAGAGAGCAGAGAGAGAGAGCAGAGAGAGAGAGCAGAGAGAGAGAGCAGAGAGAGAGAGCAGAGAGAGGGAGCAGAGAGAGGGAGCAGAGAGAGGGAGCAGAGAGAGGGAGCAGAGAGAGGGAGCAGAGAGAGAGAGCAGAGAGAGGGAGCAGAGAGAGGGAGCAGAGAGAGAGAGCAGAGAGAGAGACCAGAGAGAGAGAGGGAGCAGAGAGGTAGAGGGAGCAGAGAGGGAGAGGGAGCAGAGAGGGAGAGAGACCCCAGACCCCAGAGCGAGAGAGACCCGGTGAGATGGTTCCCAGCTACACCGGGGTTATAGACTAATCTACACAGTTTTACAGTCTGGATCACAAAGCTCTTACACAGACACTTTAATGACATGGGTGACATGGGGAGGTGCATAGGGCTGACCCGGGGAGGCGCAGAGGGCTGACCCGGGGAGGCGCAGAGGGCTGACCCGGGGAGGCGCAGAGGGCTGACCCGGGGAGGCGCAGAGGGCTGACCCGGGGAGGCGCAGAGGGCTGACCCGGGGAGGCGCAGAGGGCTGACCCGGGGAGGCGCAGAGGGCTGACCCGGGGAGGCGCAGAGGGCTGACCCGGGGAGGTGCAGAGGGCTGACCCGGGGAGGCGCAGAGGGCTGACCCGGGGAGGCGCAGAGGGCTGACCCGGGGAGGTGCAGAGGGCTGACCCGGGGAGGTGCAGAGGGCTGACCCGGGGAGGTGCAGAGGGCTGACCCGGGGAGGTGCAGAGGGCTGACCCGGGGAGGTGCAGAGGGCTGACCCGGGGAGGTGCAGAGGGCTGACCCGGGGAGGTGCATAGGGCTGACCCGGGGAGGTGCATAGGGCTGACCCGGGGAGGTGCATAGGGCTGACCCGGGGAGGTGCAGAGGGCTGACCCGGGGAGGTGCAGAGGGCTGACCCGGGGAGGCGCAGAGGGCTGACCCGGGGAGGCGCAGAGGGCTGACCCGGGGAGGCGCAGAGGGCTGACCCGGGGAGGCGCAGAGGGCTGACCCGGGGAGGTGCAGAGGGCTGACCCGGGGAGGTGCAGAGGGCTGACCCGGGGAGGTGCAGAGGAGACAGAATCTACTCTTTGGCCTGTACTGTGTCTGTTTATGTTCATCTTTCACTTTATGCTGTTTTGGTTTCAAATTATTGGAGGTTGGTCGTGATACTGACTTGAAATTGATGCCTAGAAAATCAGACGGACATTTTTGGAAGGGAGACAATTCCGGAAATCTGTGTGTTGCTAAAGCCGAACTATGTCCAGCAGTGGTATTTCTGAGTAAAAATGATGAATGTGGAGGAGTTGAGTCATAATAGATTAAGTCGTTGCAAATCTGGAGAGGGTTAAAACGCTGCTATGAATGAATTGTTCTCAAGCTACTTCTCTACGCGAGACAATAACAATAGCTGCTAGCATATGGCCCTAACGATAGCTGCTAGCATATGGCCCTAACGATAGCTGGTAGCATATGGCCCTAACGATAGCTGCTAGCATATGGCCCTAACGATAGCTGCTAGCATATGGCCCTAAGGGTAGCTGCTAGCTACAGATGCTATTAGCTAATTATCTTTTCTCAATCTCTGTCAAATCTTTCCTCAGTGGATTTGATGCATTCTAAAGCTAAATATTCACGTGTTTACAAACATATACTATTTCAGACTCACATTCAGCCCAACACGATATCATTTCACTGTTTTTCTCTTGACGATGAACTCATTCTTGGAAAAACCGGTTTGATTTCATGTTTCCAATTCCACTTTTTAGATTGTGTTTGAGTAGTAACTGGCTCTCCCGTCTGAGAGAGACACTTATAAAGCATTCCATTCCCCAAAATGTTACGTACGGTACTTTCCAGTTTGAGATCTGCGATAAGGCGGCTTTACTTAGAACTGTTTTATACAAGAGAGAGACCCCCCGGATCAAGACCTCTGGTAGAGAAGTGAGAGGGAGAGAGACGAGAGAGAGACCATAGAGAGAGAGAGACCCCCCGGATCAAGACCTCTGGTAGAGAAGTGAGAGGGAGAGAGACGAGAGAGAGACCGTAGAGAGAGAGAGACCCCCCGGATCAAGACCTCTGGTAGAGAAGTGAGAGGGAGAGAGACGAGAGAGAGACCGTAGAGAGAGAGAGACCCCCCGGATCAAGACCTCTGGTAGAGAAGTGAGAGGGAGAGAGACGAGAGAGAGACCGTAGAGAGAGAGAGACCCCCCGGATCAAGACCTCTGGTAGAGAAGTGAGAGGGAGAGAGACGAGAGAGAGACCATAGAGAGAGAGAGACCCCCCGGATCAAGACCTCTGGTAGAGAAGTGCCACACTCTGGGTTTAACTCTGCAGTAACTCAGAGAATTCACCACAGACTCTAAGATTCTGCTTCACTTTCATCTCTGCAGCACTGAAAGTTTGATTCTGTTGGTTCTGTGACTGTGGTGCGGTGACATCACAGACCAAGAAAGGAGGAGAGAGCGAGAGAGAGCGAGAGAGAGATGAGAGAGGAGAGAGCGAGAGAGAGAGAGAGAGAGAGAGAGAGGAGAGAGCGAGAGAGAGATGAGAGAGCGAGAGACGAGAGCAAGCAGAGAGAGCGAGAGAGAGATGAGAGAGAGAGAGAGACCAGAGAGAGAGAGAGACAGACAGACAGGCGATAGAGAGACACAGAGACCAGAGAGACAGATGAGAGAGAGACAGATGAGAGAGAGACAGATGAGAGAGAGACAGATGAGAGAAAAAGAGACAGAGACAGATGAGAGAGACAGATAGATGATAGAGAGAGAGAAAGAGAGAGAGAGAGAGATGAGAGAGAGAGAGAGAGAGAGACACAGATGAGAGAGAGAGACAGAGAGAGAGACCAGTTTCTTGACTGCTTTTAGAATAATCAATGACTCTGGTCCCTGGAAAAGCCAAGTTCCAGCTTTTTCCCTTTAGCAGAAGACACCGTTCATTACTAACATGCTAACATGCTAACATGCTAACATGCTAACAGCTTCTTTCAGCTGTAAAGTGCTGTTACAAAGCACTTTAATGATCTTACACTTGTATTGAAACTGTTTTTATGTACGTACTTGTCGGCCGCACACTGGGGACTTTTGCACAACTATTCCAATGTGGTTTTACTGCAAATGACCCAAACACTGAATCTGAATCTTTTGAACTCATTTTGTCCTGACATTTCTGATCTTTTCCCTCTTTTCCTTCTCTTCGCAGACAATAGTGTCGGCGATGAGCACTTTAATACCCCCAGTCCCGCTCGCCAACCCAGAGGACCAATTCAGAATCGAATACATCAAAAGCATAGCACCGCTGTCGGACTTTGACTACCCACAGGTAAGACGGAAAGTACCAGAAGTGTTGGACTATAAGCCGCTGCTTGTTTTGCGATGTGGCCACTGTCTGGGTTTGATTCTCTGATCTGTTGTTGGCGAAACGGCAACTTTGGAAAGTCCGCCGAGACGACTGCTGCTGGTCTCTCTCTGGTCTCTCTCTCTGGTCTCTCTCTGGTCTCCCTCTGGTCTCTCTCTGGTCTCTCTCTGGTCTCCCTCTGGTCTCTCCGGTCTTTCTCTCTGGTCTCTCTGGTCTCTCTCTCTGGTCTCTCTCTGGTCCCTCTCTGGTCTCTCTCTGGTCCCTCTCTGGTCCCTCTCTGGTCCCTCTCTGGTCTCTCTCTGGTCTCTCTCTGGTCTCTCTCTGGTCCCTCTCTGGTCCCTCTCTGGTCTCTCTCTGGTCTCTCTCTCCGGTCTCTCTCTGGTCTCTCTGGGGTCTCTGGGGTCTCTCTGGTCTCTCTCTGGTCTCTCTCTGGTCTCCCTCTGGTCTCTCTGGTCTCTCCGGTCTTTCTCTCTGGTCTCTCTGGTCTCTCTGGTCTCCCTCTGGTCTCTCTGGTCTCTCTCTGGTCTCACTCTGGTCTCTCTGGTCTCTCTCTGGTCTCTCTCTGGTCTCCCTCTGGTGTCTCTGGTCTTTCTCTCTGGTCTCTCTGGTCTCTCTGGTCTCTCTCTGGTCTCTGTCTGGTCTCCCTCTGGTGTCTCTGGTCTTTCTCTCTGGTCTCTCTCTGGTCCCTCTCTGGTCTCTCTGGTCTCCCTGGTCTCTCTCTGGTCTCTCTGGTCTCCCTGGTCTCTCTCTGGTCTCTCTCTGGTCTCCCTCTGGTGTCTCTGGTCTTTCTCTCTGGTCTCTCTGGTCTCCCTGGTCTCTCTCTGGTCTCTCTGGTCTCCCTGGTCTCTCTCTGGTCTCTCTCTGGTCTCTCTCTGGTGTCTCTGGTCTTTCTCTCTGGTCTCTCTCTCTGGTCTCTCTGGTCTCCCTGGTCTCTCTCTGGTCTCTCTGGTCTCCCTGGTCTCTCTCTGGTCTCTCTCTCCGGTCTCTCTCTGGTCTCTCTGGGGTCTCTGGTCTCTCTCTGGTCTCTCTCTGGTCTCTCTCTGGTCTCCCTCTGGTCTCTCTGGTCTCTCCGGTCTTTCTCTCTGGTCTCTCTGGTCTCTCTGGTCTCCCTCTGGTCTCTCTGGTCTCTCTCTGGTCTCACTCTGGTCTCTCTGGTCTCTCTCTGGTCTCTGTCTGGTCTCCCTCTGGTGTCTCTGGTCTTTCTCTCTGGTCTCTCTCTGGTCCCTCTCTGGTCTCTCTGGTCTCCCTGGTCTCTCTCTGGTCTCTCTGGTCTCCCTGGTCTCTCTCTGGTCTCTCTCTGGTCTCCCTCTGGTGTCTCTGGTCTTTCTCTCTGGTCTCTCTGGTCTCCCTGGTCTCTCTCTGGTCTCTCTGGTCTCCCTGGTCTCTCTCTGGTCTCTCTCTGGTCTCTCTCTGGTGTCTCTGGTCTTTCTCTCTGGTCTCTCTCTCTGGTCTCTCTGGTCTCCCTGGTCTCTCTCTGGTCTCTCTGGTCTCCCTGGTCTCTCTCTGGTCTCTCTCTGGTCTCTCTCTGGTCTCTCTGGTCTCTCTGGTCTCTCTGGTCTCCCTGGTCTCTCTCTGGTCTCTCTCTGGTCTCTCTCTGGTGTCTCTGGTCTTTCTCTCTGGTGTCTCTGGTCTTTCTCTCTGGTCTCTCTCTGGTCCCTCTCTGGTCTCTCTGGTCTCCCTGGTCTCTCTCTGGTCTCTCTGGTCTCCCTGGTCTCTCTCTGGTCTCTCTCTGGTCTCTCTCTGGTCTCTCTGGTCTCTCTGGTCTCTCTGGTCTCCCTGGTCTCTCTCTGGTCTCTCTCTGGTCTCTCTCTGGTCTCTGTCTGGTCTCCCTCTGGTGTCTCTGGTCTTTCTCTCTGGTCTCTCTCTGGTCCCTCTCTGGTCTCTCTGGTCTCCCTGGTCTCTCTCTGGTCTCTCTGGTCTCCCTGGTCTCTCTCTGGTCTCTCTCTGGTCTCCCTCTGGTGTCTCTGGTCTTTCTCTCTGGTCTCTCTGGTCTCCCTGGTCTCTCTCTGGTCTCTCTGGTCTCCCTGGTCTCTCTCTGGTCTCTCTCTGGTCTCTCTCTGGTGTCTCTGGTGTCTCTGGTCTTTCTCTCTGGTCTCTCTCTCTGGTCTCTCTGGTCTCCCTGGTCTCTCTCTGGTCTCTCTGGTCTCCCTGGTCTCTCTCTGGTCTCTCTCTCCGGTCTCTCTCTGGTCTCTCTGGGGTCTCTGGGGTCTCTGGTCTCTCTCTGGTCTCTCTCTGGTCTCTCTCTGGTCTCCCTCTGGTCTCTCTGGTCTCTCCGGTCTTTCTCTCTGGTCTCTCTGGTCTCTCTGGTCTCCCTCTGGTCTCTCTGGTCTCTCTCTGGTCTCACTCTGGTCTCTCTGGTCTCTCTCTGGTCTCTCTCTGGTCTCCCTCTGGTGTCTCTGGTCTTTCTCTCTGGTCCCTCTGGTGTCTCTGGTCTTTCTCTCTGGTCTCTCTCTGGTCCCTCTCTGGTCTCTCTGGTCTCCCTGGTCTCTCTCTGGTCTCTCTGGTCTCCCTGGTCTCTCTCTGGTCTCTCTGGTCTCCCTGGTCTCTCTCTGGTCTCTCTCTGGTCTCCCTCTGGTGTCTCTGGTCTTTCTCTCTGGTCTCTCTGGTCTCCCTGGTCTCTCTCTGGTCTCTCTGGTCTCCCTGGTCTCTCTCTGGTCTCTCTCTGGTCTCTCTCTGGTGTCTCTGGTCTTTCTCTCTGGTCTCTCTCTCTGGTCTCTCTGGTCTCCCTGGTCTCTCTCTGGTCTCTCTGGTCTCCCTGGTCTCTCTCTGGTCTCTCTCTGGTCTCTCTCTGGTCTCTCTGGTCTCTCTGGTCTCTCTGGTCTCCCTGGTCTCTCTCTGGTCTCTCTCTGGTCTCTCTCTGGTGTCTCTGGTCTTTCTCTCTGGTCTGTCTGATTTCTCTAGAAACAAAGAAATACTGCTAATGTCAAAAACTAGCTGTAGCACATTCTGTTGTACATCTGTTAATGGAGCAGACGAGTCCAGGCCTGTCTGACGTAGCTTTAAAGCTCGGGTTCGTAACTTCTTTTTGCTTCATAATGAATGTCCTACAGGAAAGTCTGTGTCTGTGCGTCTGTGTGTGTCTGTGTGTGTGTGTGTCTGTGTGTGTGTGTGTCTGTGAGTCTGTATGTGTATGTGTGTCTGTGAGTCTGTCTGTGCGTCTGTGTGTGTGCTTCTGTGTGTGTGTGTGTGTGCGTCTGTGTGTGTGTCTGTGTGTGTGTGTCTGTGTGTGTGCGTCTGTGTGTGTGTGCGTCTGTGTGTGTGTCTGTGTGTGTGTGTGTGCGTCTGTGTGTGTGTGCGTCTGTGTGTGCGTCTGTGTGTGTGTCTGTGTGTGTGTGTGTGCGTCTGTGTGTGTGTGTCTGTGTGTGTGTGTGTGCGTCTGTGTGTGTGTCTGTATGTGTGTGTGTGCGTCTGTGTGTGTGTGTCTGTGCGTCTGTGTCTGTATATCTGCGTCTGTGTCTTTGCGTCTGTGTCTGTGCTGGATCGTCTGTGTCTGTGTGTGCGTCTGTGTGTGTGTGTGTCATTGTGTGTGCGTCTGTGTGTGTGTGTCTGTGCGTCTGTGTCTGTGCTGGATCGTCTGTGTCTGTGTGTGCGTCTGTGTGTGTGTGTGTCATTGTGTGTGCGTCTGTGCGTCTGTGTCTGTGCTGGTTCGTCTGTGTCTGTGCGTCTGTGTCTGTATGTCTGCGTCTGTGTCTTTGCGTCTGTGTCTGTGCTGGATCGTCTGTGTCTGTGTGTGCGTCTGTGTGTGTGTGTGTGTGTGTGTGCGTCTGTGTGTGTGTCTGTGTGTGTGTGTCTGTGCGTCTGTGTCTGTGCTGGTTCGTCTGTGTCTGTGCGTGTGTGTCTGTATGTCTGCGTCTGTGTCTTTGCGTCTGTGTCTGTGCTGGATCGTCTGTGTCTGTGTGTGCGTCTGTGTGTGCGTCTGTGTCTGTGTAAGCGTCTGTCTGTGTGTGTGTGTCTGTGCTGGTGCGTCTGTGTGTGTGTGTCTGTGCTGGTGCGTCTGTGTGTGTGTGTCTGTGCTGGTGCGTCTGTGTGTGTGTGTCTGTGCTGGTGCGTCTGTGTGTGTGTGTCAGTGCTGTTGTGTCTGTGCGTCTGTGTGCGTCTGTGTGTCTGTGTGTCTGTGTCTGTGCGTCTGTGTGTCTGTGTCTGTGCGTCTGTGTGTGTGTGTCTGTGCGTCTGTGTGTCTGTGTAGGCCTGTCACGATAACAAATTTTGCTGGACGATTAATTGTCTCAGAAATTATTGCGATAAGCGATTATATTGTCGTTCTGAGATCATTTGCATCGATTACAATGATAATGCAAGTACACCTTTTCAAAGAGAAATAAACTTTTATTTTTAACAAATATTTAACGCTAGAACACAATAAATTAACAAACAACCAAAAACAATAAATAAAATACTCAGTCTCTTAACAAAAAATGACCAGGAATAAAACTGCCAGGACCTTTGTAAAGAAAATATGAAACAGATGCCTCAAATGTCAATAATTTCTCAGACTTTATGGCAGATTACGAGAAAGAAATACCAACATGTTGACTTTGTGTGGCTTAAGACAGGATCTCTCAGGAGTAGTCCCACCTCCCCACACACCACCAGGCGAATGACAAGTGACTGACATGTGGGTTCACCAATGGGGCGTACAGAAGTCCTGCTGCGGTAGCGCCCACCGGAAGTAGAGGGGCGGGCTTTGATGCTAACAGCTAAGCTAGCGGGTTTTTTGTGTAAAGTTCTACTCCAAGAATGCAAGTCTGCAGCATCTCTGTGTTCAGAGACCTTCTAGAGACTTTATATAACAGCAGTATGTGTTCACGGAGGTGCGCCATAAGTTTATTTTATTGGTATGGTACAGTACTTCTGCATCGGCAAACACGCTAACGCTAGCTGCGCTAGTATAGTCACTAATCAAGCCTGAATGAGAACTCAGCTGCCGGCATAT